TGTTTTGAGCTCTTTTGTGTTTAGGAAAATATATACTAATTTTCAAAGTATCAAATTGAATTTTTGTTCAATAAAAATCTTTAGAATGCGACTGTAGCTTTTTTTACCCTAAAACTTTGTCTTCAAAATAAGCGTGCATCTTAAGAAAAATAGAGTAAATTCTAACTTTAAGGCAATATTAATATTTCAATGTGTAAAAGATATACATAAACATACTTGTATAGATGTAACCATTTAATGAAACATACTCACTTATGTTCTTTATAAATACTCGGGTAAACTATTTGTTCAAGAGTTACCCGAATCTGGCAGGGGGTGGGGTGCAAAACCTGATGTAGGGGATCAGCTTTTACAGTGTAAGTCAACAGACTAAAATAATATGTTATATGTGCTTAAATGCAAACATACATTTACAGTTTTAATAACTATTACTAATAATATTTAGTTTAACTACGATGTTAAGTTTACATCCAATCTGTATCCAATCTGTCGGACGTTCACCTCAATCCCAGTGGTTTTCAAGAAATGAAAGTAACGTATGCAGCATAAGTTTCCAGTCATTCTGTTGCTGCTACAATAAACATATGTATTGCACTAGGCACTGGAGTAATAAATATCAAGCAAGACATTGGGAACTGCCACTTTGCTTTCCAAATGATTGCAATTTAACAGCGCATATATATATACAGTTTCGCCGTGCTCCCACTCGTAAATCACAGCATATCGGTTACATAAGTGGTAACATTCTTTCTATCAGAAGGGCAAACCATGAAGATAAATATGTGACTGGGGAAATATTTATGAAGGTGGAACTTTACGTGATGTTCTAGAAACAGGAGGACATCTTACGAACAACGAGATAATATATCTCCCGTTGAAAAAAAAATGCTCTTGAAGAAGAAGGGATCTATCAGAGAGCAGAAAATAAATCCTACACTGTTCAAATGGGCCTTTAAAAACTGCATATATATATGTATATAAATTCTGAGGCATTTAATTTGTTTGTTTGTAATTAAGCACAAAGCTACACAACGGGCTATCTGTGCTCCGCCCACCATGGGTATCGGAACCCGGTTTCTAGCGTTGTAAGTCCGCAGACGTACCGCTGTGCCACTGGGTGGCGGCATTTAATTGCTCTGAATATTTTAGTGTGCTCTTCACCACGTACTGTCATTTTGCTGAAGTGACAAAAACTTCAGTTAAGAATGTTCTTGCTTAGCACATCAGGATATTTTCTTCTTGTATATGTCGGCGGGTATTTACTACAGAAATGCTTGGGAAAATTGGTTTTCATTAGATGGTCATTCACTTAAAAACATGTCTACCTGATAACGCTATCGAAATCTCGTATTAAATACTGACGAAATATGTGTAGAAAATCCGAATTTAATTTAACTACAGATATGAAACTTTAACTGCTTTTGGACATTTTCTGACGTTTTCAAAATGATTACTTACTGAAGTAAAAAATAAGAAAAAGAAAGTTCTTAAGCGTGTGAATAATTTAAGTAAATATCCAACAGGAAATTCTATACACAAATTTCTGTTAAATTTAGATGGTAAAAATGAACCAGTGCCAACTTTTGATAGATGTAGGCTAAATTCCTGGACACAAATATAATCCAGTGATTATATTTTTGTATAAAAAAGCTTTCCGCGGGAATAAATGAACCACTAAATACGTCCTTACTACACTTGTATGATTCGAAAACTTGCAACTAATTTATAGCAGTTCTTTATATCAGGTTCTTTGAATAGGAACTGCCACATGTCTGACATGTATGTTTTTGCATACATTTGTGTAGTAAAAGCATTTTCCAGAACGAACGATCCGGCCTGATGGTTAGGGCGCTCGACTCGCAATCTGTGGGTCGCGGGTTCCAATCCCTTTCGCCAAATATACTCGCCCTTTCAGCCGTGGGGGCGTTATAATGTAACGGTCAATCGTACTATTTATTAGTAAAAGAGTAGCCCAAGAACTGGCGGTGGGTGGCTTTCCCTCTAGCGTATCACTGATAAATTAGGGATGGCTAGCGTAGATAGTCCCTATGTAACTTTCTGTGAAGTTGATGCTTGTTATAAAGCTACAGAAAGGGCTATCTATGCAATGCCCACCACGAGTATTGAAACCCACGTGGGGGGGGGGGGGGGCTTTGAGTGAAATTCTAAACAAGCCTTCATTTCACCATCCAAAAATTTTGATGTACAAATGAAGAGATAACCTTGTTTGTTTGTTGTTAAATACAAAGCTACACAGTGGGCTATCTGTGCTGTGCCCACCACAAGTATCGAAACCCTGTTTTTAGCAATATGAGCCGAGTCGCTGAGGGGTAGAGATAACTTGTTGAAGAAATTGTCACCATCCATAAATCGTGATGTATTTTGACTTTATTCATTTTTAAGAGTCCCCCGATTGGTCAACAGTAAATTTACTGACTTTCAACGCTAAAATCCAGGTTTTTTTTCCCACAGTAAACAAGGCACAGATAGTCTGTTATGTAGCTGTGCACTCAAATAACAACGACCATAATTCTTGGACTATATTTGTATCCTTAGAATTATTTCATTATATTAACCGTTGATATCAGTAACCACTATGATATTTATGAAATATAAAACAAGGATTGATTTGTATGAAAAAGAAAAATTGCTTTCTTCCCTTCAATTAAATATTTTCTAGTGATTTTTGTTTGAAGTTAAACACAAAGCTACACAATGGGCTATCTGTGCTCTGTCCACCACGAGACCCTGTTTTAGCGTTGTAAGTTCGCAGACATACCGCTGTGCCACTGAGGGGGAGGGTGCCTTTTCTAGTGAGTCTCAAACAAAAAAAATTATATTTTTAGGTTTCTATTTCTTAACAGCTTATTATTGAAGCAACTATGCTGTTCTGGACTTAAAACAGAAATACGTAATTAGTTCTTTTTAAATTACCAACACTTTTCATACAATTTCAATAAATAAATTACTGTAAGCTGAAGAGAAGTCATTAAAAAAAAAGTTTCACTTCGGTAATTTAATTCAATTAGTTTCGAATAAAATGTATTCCTAATACAAAAATAAATCCTTAAATAATACAAGATTGTGTACGTTATATCAAAACGATTTTGAATACGCAACTCAGCAAGTTACGTGACAACCACAGTCAATATAAAGTTGCGATGGAACGACACGTATCAGAACTACATTTTACAATGTTTAACGCTTTGTGTATAGTGTGATAACACCGAAAACTCATGGCTTTTAGGAAGAATATATAACAAGCCTTTCCGACAAAAAATATCCATACAATCAGATCAGAGAGATGTGTTCAGATCGAAGATTTAGAATTTCTAACACATAGTATTTCTTATACTTAATGGGGTTTAAAAACAAAAGAATATGGATCAACTTGAGGCACCAAGACCATTTAGAAAGAGACATGTGCAACAAGATGTAGTTCAGTCGTAGTACGAAAAGTGCAGCGTCTTGTAATCGGTCAGAATTCATGAACACAAAGGTCAATGGCAAAACCCATCCACGTTCTCCAAGCACATAATCAAGAAGAATTTTCGTTTGAAAAAAACGTAACAAGTCACGTGTACACAAGTTGTTTTCACAACTTATCAATCAACCTCAAAGGCCTCAACCTTGAAACGCCATTTACAACACCTATGAATTTCTGTGCGATTAAACAGAAATTAAGGCTGGGAACCCACCGTCTTCGTACACTAAATGACTTATGGAAATCTAACAGGTATTGTCGATCGTCAAAATAAAAGAGAAAAACTTTTAAAATAAGTTTATAAATATATTTTCTTCCACTGAAGTGTTGAGGTGATTTCTTTCACTGATCAATTTTTAAAGCCTTTATACCCATGACTAAGTGACTACCACAATAACACCGCTTCAACGTGGCGGTGGCAGCACTGTATGGTTGAACTGAGCTGTGCGCAGGAGTATGCGCAGTCACTCTCAGGTCAAAGACGCCGACTGAGCGTTTCCATTCTGTGTAGTGTATATTTACTCCGTAACTGTACATTGCCCGAAACGTTGGTACATAAAAAGTAGTTACCTATACCTAGAATTGATAAAATTTGAATAATTATGAAAAACTGTGCAGCATCAGACCAATTATACTTTACAGGTACATTAACTATTTCACTAGCATTTAATGGAAATACTTTACTACTTTTGTTATTTCATGTAAGATAATTAACTTTCGTCATCACTATAGCATTTCATAAAAAGAAGCAAAATTAGTAACGTAATACAGTAAAGCTTGATTAATGTGTCTCATCATAAACATTACACTTGGGAATTTTTTTTTTCTAGATGATATTCACCGGTAGTATGAATAATGAAACATCGAAATACAATTTAATAGCTATGATAATTACTAACCATAGGTATACGAGTCTTTTGGTAGGTGGAAGGAGGTATATGACCAACAATGAAAATAATGACAGTTTTTTTCTCTTTTAGATCGTACAGAAATTATTTGAGCGGACACTACAACTGATTCCCAAGGTGCATTTCTGTGTTGCTGATGTCCGAGATGTGGCACAAGCTCATCTAAAGGTCATGACCCTCCCGTCAGCAGCCACGCATCGCCATATTGTGTGTACAGAATCTATTTGGTGGAGGCAAATCGCTCATATCTTATTTACCGAGTTTAAACCTAAAGGTGATATGATAGAAATGTCAAAAACTTAAACCTTAAAATAATGTTATAGAAGAGTCACTTACGTACAAACCTATGCTGAATGTAGTCTGATAGAAGTGTCTAAGGACGATGTGACAAAAAAACGAGTATTTTAAACCTTAAAAGAAGACAAAAGTACAAAACCTTATAACCATAACACTTTCGAAAGACGGACATTTCTTCATCAGTTTGCTTCTGATGAAGAAAGGTTTTCGTATTTTTTTCTTTAATAGATTTGTTTAACCTACGTGTTTTCCTAACATTATTAATTAAACCTTAAGTGGAAATGATAAAAATGCCATTTGTATAGTAGTGTATTCTGAAAAAAGCAATGCACTACGTTTTACTTATAAGAGGGCTGTAAGTCATGACGAAATATATTACACCTTACTTATACAAGAACTATAAATCCACGCATGATATGCAAGGAGGAGGGAGTTTGGTCCAACATCCTATTTTTGTGAGGTAAAACAAATTATACTTATATAATTATAGCTTATGTTACTTACATTATGTTACAATCCTTTTGTTTAAGCTATATTTCATACAAAATTGCTTCCAGATTTAATCCCATAGCATCTATTTGTTTACAAATTTTCCGGGGGAGCATACCCTCAGACCCCCGTAGAATTATCATGCTTTTCATGCTGATTGTTCTTCACCCAATATGTGTTGGCGTTTGATCTCACAAATTAGAACACCGCTTTCAAACATTCTGCGTACGGGCCTGAATTTATGACTTAATTAACCACGTCTTACTTACACAAGGACTATAATTCATGACTTAACCTACTACATCTTACTTATACAAGAACTATAATTCATGACTTAACCTACTACATCTTACTTATACAAGAACTATAATTCATGACTTAACCTACTACATCTTACTTATACAAGAACTATAATTCATGACTTAACCTACTACATCTTACTTATACAAGAACTATAATTCATGACTTAACCTACTACATCTTACTTATACAAGAACTATAATTCATGACTTAACCTACTACATCTTACTTGTACAAGGACTACAATTAATTACTTTACTTACTACATCTTACTTATACAATGAATAAAATTCGTAACATTCAATTTTGCATCAGATTTGATCGCGATCAGATGAGAACTTTTCAAATTATACTGTTAACACATACACACAGAAGAGTGAAAATAATACTCTCGCCGTCGGGTGGAGTAATAGGCACTTAAAACGTGTCAAAAATATATTGTGATTATGATAAAGAATATTGTAGATAAACTATCAATCTATGTAACATCACGCTAATCAGTCTTTATTGATTATTAGGACTTTAGAAGTTCAACTAGAAATTATTGTATTATATTAAGGAAGTATTATTAGTAATAAAGTGATTTTTTGGCTCGTCTTAAGAGAAATACGGGAAGAGGCTTTGTATTTACTTCGTTTGTTTCAGATATTCACACAAAGCTACATAATGTCTCTCTGCTCTAATTTTAAACTGGTAGACTAGAGGAAAGGTAGTTAGTCAATAGCACCCTCCGCCAACTCTTAGACAACTCTTGTCTGATCGAATAGTGCACTCATGGCCCGAAGGTGCAGAGCACAATCATACGAAATGGGACGCGAACCATGGACTCTCGGATTCACAATTCAGAAGGCAACCATTAGACCACGCCCTGTTCAGAGTGGCAAACGTATTATAAATTTTTATTACGTATTAAGATTATAGCCATTTTCATGTTTTCTCAAAGATGTAATTTAACATTAAAAAACATCGTTTCTAGTACTTGGAATGCAGACTTGCAACCCTAGAAACTGGTTTCGATACCCGTGGTGAACAGAGCACAGATAGCCCATTGTGCAGCTCTCTGCTTAATTACAAAACAAGCAGACAAAGTATTTGGTCGTCAAGAAATTAATGTCGCTTTTTTTTAGAAGAAAAAACCCGAACAATTTATATATCAAAACAAAACATTTATTAAATGATATAGTCTCAATTCTTATCGATGATTCTTTTCCATCTT